GGAGTGGCAATCTATTAAAGAACTGGATTAAGATGTCATGAAACCACATTTTCAAGAGACTGCATTTATGGAGATGACACACTAAGCAAAGTTAAATGTAATTAAAAAATAAGAATCTTATAAGATGATAAAGAAATACAAGAGCAAAGAAGATAAATGAGTTAAGAATGAAGACAATTACATTGTTCAAAAACTTACTTCAAGTGTCCACAACCTTGATTCCACTGATTCCACCGATTACCAGAACCCAACTTTAAAGAGTCGACACTTTGCTTAGTATTGGGATTCATAACCATACTTAAAGCTTGGAGGCTACCCTTTGTCAGGGCACGACCTGCAAAAGAAATGACGAGGGAAGTGGAGCACTACGTTTAAATAAATTGGGTGATTGTGACATTAAAAATAAGTATACAACACGCAACATTTATAAATGAAAAGAGATAAGCATATTGTTTGTTTCATGAAATAATAATGAAAATGGATTAAACCTACCTGTAGATTCGGAAAGAGGCTGCTTCAAAGGAGTTTTCTCTACATGACTGGCTCTACGAGAGACAACTTGATCAGGCTGATTAGACGAATGCAGGGAATCAAGCGGGCGATTAAATTCTTCCTGCCAACCTCTAGCGCGCAACTCCTTGAGTTCTTTTAATCTGAAGTGAAGATGTGAGCTAATTTTGATGTTCTTAATAATACGCTCCACCTTGTTCATTATCTCAGTAAGATAATCCTTGGAAGTTTCGTCAAAACGAGGTCCAATAGTAGAGACAAAAACCAGGAACGCTTCAAACATAGTCTCGCTCATATGTTCAAAGAAGTTATGAAGAGAGCATCGGACACTTCTGTCAGGTATAAATCCAATGAGGTAGAGCTCACCGACAAATTGCATATTGCACATGTAGGCATCTCGCTTCTTGTTAACTAAATTTTCCCTCTCAGCCTCAAGCATCTTTTTAACACTAGAATCCTGAGCAGCTTCGATCTTGGCATTGAGCTCGTCATTCGTTTTCTTTTCTATCTCCTTTAAGGAAGATTAATTCGAATGAGATAAATATAAATATATGCAGATAAATTGGGAGAACTTACCGAAAATGGGGTATGGAAATGAAGATTAGATTTCTCGACCAATAATCCAGAAAATCCGGATTTGTGTGGAGGAACGACCAACTGAATAAAAAAATTGTTAATTAATCAGGCTTTGCCTGCAATGCAAATTAAACACTAAGTCGAATTAAGGAAAAATGCCATGATTGACAAAAACACAATCATAAATAATTGATTTCAAAATAAAGGACAACATGAATGAAACAGCCTACAATACACACGTCTTTGAGCCGGCGTGCCAGTTTGGCGAATAGCTTGCAAAACTTCGCTTGACCGATGGCCTAAAATGAAGGAAAGCACGATGACATAACATAACGGATTAAGCCGCTCTTTAAAAAGCGAAGACTCACTTTTTCGAAAACTAAACTTGCAAGTATATCCAACTCTTCTTGGCTTTTGATACAAAGTTCGATAATCTCTTTATGTATATCTAACATATTAGAATCTGTTAGCCGATTAAGGATAATATTGATCTTCCGACGTAATAATTTGCTTGTATCAGCTTCAACGTCGCCTTTGGCGGCCTTTAGGTATCCGGGTTTAAAAGCACCCTCTACACCTTTGACTGGGGCCATATTAGCATTGAGGTTAATTACACGGCCAGGAGCTGTGCCTCGATTTCTAGGCTAAAAGGAATAATAAATAATGGAAGCTACTCTATTATATCCATGTGATAAGGCCCTGTACCTATTTTGGCCGTCAGGATTGATCTTAAATTCCAACATAAGCG